CCCTGGGAACTTTTTTTTAAATTTTAAAAATTCTAGCAAAAAACCCCTTTTCCCAAATGTAGGGCTAAAACCCCCCCCCCCCATTCTCCCCTTATGATTCTCAAAGGCCCCAATGTACTGTTCAAGCTCCTACATTATCTCCAGTTACTTCTATAGCTATCCCAAAAGCTACACAAAAGAAAAACCATTAGGATACCTGTCTGTGGTACCTGGAAGTGTGTGGCAAGTTTGGTTACACTAGCTTATAAGTAAGTATTGTAACAAAGTTTCAAAAATAATGCCAGATTCAGGTTCAGCAACACTGCAAACCTATTCCTAGACACTTATCATGCATGGGTGACCTTCTGGATAATTTTCAGTCCCCCGTGGTATCCCAGATAAATAAAACTAGGGGCTATGACTTATAGATGAAGATACCCCTAGACCTCTTGAGTCTGTCAGTCAAGTTTTGTCCTGCTAGCTCCAAACTATGGGAAGAATTTGTGGACAAACAATTTCACAAACAGAACACGAATTAATATAGGGTATTATATGCAGTTCTTTTATATTATTTTTAACTAAAGTATTGTCAAAGCACATCACTTTTTACCATTTCTTTGTAATAAAGATTTCAGTTTTTGAATAAAATGTATCTTGAGGAACATATGCTGCTGAAGTCTCTAAAATCTTAATTTTTAGCTCAAAGACAAAACATGTTATAACATTAAAACTGAAAGAGGTTATATATCTATATTGTGCTCTAAATTATTAACATCTTTATAAACTGATGAAATTTAAAATGATTCTGTATTTTATAGCTGTAAGCTTTAAAAGGTTTGCATTAAGATAGATTTTTACCACTGAGAATGTTATCTGAAACCTAAGAAAATACAGTATAGATTTGTCAAGGACTTAGCAGTATTGATATTAATGCCTTTCAATTCAGTTCTAAAACATATCTTGTAATTCTGAATTTGATAAAATGCTTCAGAAATTCTTCTCACCTCTTCACCAAAAAGAGATATACTACTGTGTAAATTCCTGCACATGTAACAAGCCTTGAACAAAGCTCTGCAGGTGTTAACATGTATTGCACCAGCCTGTAATGTAATTTGCATTTGCCTGCTGCCTTCCACCAGTAGGAGGAGGGCAACACATCTTCCATGTAGAGTAATCCCCATGAGCTCTAACATTTGAATATGGGCTCATTCTTCCTGACATGTATTTTTTCATAAGATTTACCAGAATTGTTATGCTTATTTTTTTAATTTTAATTTTATTAATTTTACTATTCCTCATGTAAACTTTCTTTCCTTAATTTTCTTGATTATATGAAAGAATGACACTAAACTGTAAACTTATTATTTAGAACTTTCATTTGAACTATCATCAATTTGCTTTTTTTGCATTGTACTTTTGAGATGCATCTCCCATTGCCTGTTCTCATTGTTTAAACCAATATATGAGCTTTGTCCAGTACTCTTCAAGGTCATCATTAGGTCTATCTGACATCACCATACCTAACTCTTTTTTTTTTTATAAGTAATAATTATAATAAAACTTCTGTTTTTACATATTTTACAAAAACAGATAACCATAATATTAATTTCATGGATGAATTGGAATATGCATTCACTGTCATTGTCAGTGATATTACTACCATTGTGCACCACATAGTTGGTTCCATTCTGATCTCAAATCCAGGATTCTCAACCTCCTGCTTTTGTTACTTTAGCTGAGCCTGATCCATCTTGTAATGTTTCATCACTATTGTCTCCATGCTTGCTTTTGCTTCTTGTTCCCTTTTCCTGATGTGAATTAGGTATTTCTACCTCCCTCATTATCTTATCCAGACCTCTTGTCTTGCACCTTTTCTTTGTGATATGTTTTTTTGATTTTGGGGGTATTTCTTATACATTGTCATTTTGAGCTGATGCAGCTCTTCAGTAGTCATCTCTTCTCACATTGATTTCTAGCCCTTGTGACTAGGGAGCGCCACCAGTTTTCACATAGTATTTGGCCTCATGAGGTTGCCCTTTCTTCTATTACTTGTCATTTTTTTACTATCTATGATTCTCTCTCTCTCTTTGAGGGCTGACTGTCATGGGTCTTGGAGGCAATTAGTTTATGCAACCACCATCTGGCTCCAATCTTGTGGTAGCTCTGCTCTTCCACTTTGTCCATCAGTAGAGTCCTTTTGCTCCAGCCTATTGAGTTCCTCAGGTGCTTTCTTAGAGGTTTTTTCTGTACTTCTACTCTTCACCTCACCTGTTTCAAATGCCAAAGACAATTCCTCAACTGCATTCTTGAGTTTTACTCCCATTTATTTACCATTTCCACAAAATTAAAAAGGCAATATTTTATGTATAGTCCTTGAACCAAAGAACCAAGTTGAAGTTATAGCATATTTTAGGTGAACCATTTGTTCTCTTTTACAACTGTTTATTATGAATATCTTCAACAGTACCTTCTGAGATAGTAATGAGTATGAGTCACCCTGTTGTTGCTGCATAATCGCTCCTTCAATAAGGCATACTTCTAGTCAGTTGGCAGACTGTGTTATTGGGGGAAGGGGATCATGTTTCATTCTTCTTCTGTCAGTGCATTGCCAAGCTCTTTGATATTTTGTGGTGTTGGTATACACAGTGTTCAAGAAGGTCTCAGAGTTGTTTTAAGGGATTTAGTTTACGAGTTACTGCTACCCATTATGTGACCTTTTATTTTTCTTGGTCAAGGCCATCCATCACAATGTGGCAATGTGATATTGGGCATTGTCTTACTTTGGGACAACATATGGTCTTGTTGCATCTCTGAAAGGTCTGTAATGGGAAAATTTTTGGACAATAAGATCTATACATCCATTCATACTTGTGCTTCCTCTACCTCATAATTGAACTGACACCAAATTGGTGATATTACATAGTGCTTCACTAAGCATGTTCTCAACTCACAAACTTGATGTTCATTGGAAATACACATAAAACAATGACTTAACTGTGAGGAGTACAGGTGCCCAATGATGATGTAACCAGTTCTGATGACCTATACATAATCCAATGATACTTTGTGGCTATTCATAATCTTGACTTGTTATGTTGTAACATCTTCACTCTAGCTTTTTAAAAAAGGATATTAGGAAATCAGAAGGCACCTATAAGAAATGGTAGAAAATATTAACATTAACAGTTAAGATTTATTTAAGTACATTAAAGTGAAACAGTATTAAAGTGGGAGTTGGGCTAATAAAAATTAAATGAAGATGGGATGGCTTTAATTGACAATTACAAGATTCTTAGGCATCTAAATTGTTTTTTTTTGTCATTAATTTTTACTAAGGAATATGTAGGGAATATTCCACAAATAAATCTTCTTCAAGCAGATTATCTGATATCCTTGGATTAAGCCAGTGTTGGTAAGATTCAAGATTGAAAAAAAATGAAGGGGGAGATAATAGTTATTCTAGGATAATAAAGGAGACCAACGAGCAGACATATGAACCATTAACCTTAAAATTTGATTAATTCATTAATAGTGGCAAAGTGCTAGAAAACTGGCAATTGACCAATGTCACAATATGTGATAATTGATATTTTAAAGGAACATTTTAATGTTTTTGAAGTAATTTCTCTCCAGTTAATATTACTTCAGTAGATGGGAAATTACTAGAATAGAATTAAGGAATTTCTAAATATACATTTACATGAGCTTCATATTATAAGGGATAGTCAGCACAGATTTAAAAAGTTAGTAATAATGTAAACAGGATTTTTTGTTTTATACATAGAAATATTGAGTTCAAGTCAAAGGAGGTAAACTATAAGATATTAAGTTGTAAAAAGAAATAAGAGAAGAGCTACTTGGATGATTTATATGAGATATGGTTTGAGAATAGGTTGAAATCACTTGACATGACTTGTATCAACCCAGTTTATAAATTTTATGATATTACTAAGTTGCTGGGAAAGAATGATCCTGTGGAAAGCATACTTTTCATTCAAAAGGATTTGGATAGTATTGGTAGGTGAAAAAAAAGTTAAAATGAAATTCAATATTGAGAAGTGTAAAGTAATTCACTTTTGTTTGTTTTAAAAATTTGATCTTGCTTTTTCTGTGAAAGTAAACACTGTTTTTATGAAGAAAGTGAAGGAAATATGTATGGTTGTTGGAAAAATAATAATAAAATTTCGAGATCTACTTCCGGGAAGTTTGAATTGAAAGTAAGAAAAATACCACATGCTTGAATAATGTAAAGACAGTTTATTCAATAAATATTAGATTGTGGTATTTTGTCTAATTTTAAATGTCACAAGAAGGATACAGATAGTGAACATATTTGAAACATTGCAGAGATGGGTTATTAAAATGATAACCTAGTTTAAAATAGTCCATTTTCTGGGAAGAGCAGCATAAGAACGTGTACTTGTTTTCTGTGAAGAGTAAAAAAACTAGATGTGGCTTGATTCAGCTTTTTTTAATTGTTTGGACCTTGGTAAGTAGCCTGTGGATTATTTGTTTTAGAGATGGGTTGTTATGGCTGGAAATAAAAACTATAATGTTGAAGGTGATAGGTTGAAACTTGATAACATAAACTTGGGCATGTTCTTCAGTAAAACTTATTATCTATTGAAATTCTAAATTTTTAAAATATTTTCCATGATGATTCTGTGAATCCTGTTAGTTGAAGTGAGACTAATAATTTATTTGATCATTAATTAGTTGCAAAGAGCTGTATTTAATGATTAGCATGATTGTTTCAATTGTTGAAACAAGGAGAATATGGTGAGTCAAAGAACTGATTGTCAACTTGCTTATTATTTTGTTTTTTATATTTCAGTGATCAACATTATAGTTTTAAGCTAAGCATTACCATTTTGATGAGGAGTGCATAAAAGAATTATATTATTTAATATAAGTTTGTCATAATTTAAATATTTTGTTTGAAGCAATTAGAAGAAGCTCGCCAGAAAGCAGAAATAAAACTACAGATGCCTCCAGTATTAAAACCTAAACCTTCAGTCACAGAGATTTTGTCATATGATCCAGAGCTTCAGGGACTAGACAATTTCAAGATTGTTTTTACAGATATTACTTATGGTATATCTGACAGAGTAAGTGTACTTGAAATCTTCAAAGTATTTCACTAAGTTTTAGAAGTTAAATCATTTCTAAGGTGCATTTAGAAGATATACTTACCAGTTTTATTTTTCACTTTGAAAGCTCAGCTTTCAGTTACGTCCAAAGCACCTTGCTAAGACTGTTAGCAAGCTTTTATAGGACCTGGTTTCTTCCTCTGATTTTACATTTGTTGTTATTTGTAAGATCAAGTACCTTTCAAATCTTAGCTCAATAAAAGTTAGTATACTTACAAATGACAGCAAGAAGACTCAAAACCAAGATTACATGTTAAAACTATTTTAAATAGCTAGCTTTGGTTCTGTTTGTATAATTATTTTCAAGCCAACTTGCTAATGACTTGCTGAAAAAGTCCTAAAATTGGACTTAATGTTTTTTATTAATAGTAATTTTAATATAGTTAAAATCCATTTTATGTGTCTTACTGTTGTGCTTTATTATATTGCAAGGATAACATGTAGTGAAATTGACAGTTGTTTACCTAAATTAAGGAATTGGAACTGAACATTCTTACGTTTCTCTTTTTTTTCTTTCTATAGCAAAGACTCATTGTAGTGAGAGATACAGATGGCACATTGCGAAAGGCCAAACGAGGAGAACGACATAGGATGAACCAGACATATTTCCCTCAGAATGGTCGAAAACACAAACTGCCAATTATGTTCGAAGATGAGCATTTGGATGTGAGTGTTAAGGTTCAATGTAGTTTTTATTTGTGGAACTAGTATTAAAAATTTATTCTAGTTTAGATCAGCACTTGCTCGAAAGTTTATGTTGTTCGTAATTGTTTGTGCCAGATTGTAACTTAGTAGACATTCATTGTGAATTGTTACATTGTTTTTATGAGAAATGATATCTTCATGGTTTTATGTACATCTGATATATATTGAAAATATAGAAATTAAGCTTGTGGAGTATGAACACTCAATTATATTTTAGTGATTACATTTATTTTCATTAATAGAAATAATTGCTTTGGAATTGTACTTTTAAATACTGTACAAGTATTTTTTTTAAAAAAGTATTTGTGTCATGAACAATCAGAAAATATTTTTAGGAGCCTAATTTTCAGGAAATTTTTTAAATACATATTCATAGTATTATTCACAGCCTTTAACCATTGAAGGTGCTGGCAAATGGTTGCTTCTATTTTTTTTTCCTCAAACTAGTAAAGTTGGTATTGCTACTAGCAACAACATTGTTATTTGCTAAGATTAACAGTAACTGTGCCATAATTAATTATTTAATGTAATAAATGTTAACAAACATGTATTTATTCTTTTTTCATGTTTTCAATAAGTTTCAAATATAAAAACTAGTTTTATTTTAATTATTTCATAGAAGTTAAAAGACATGCCTCATTTGGGTGGAAACTGGTGTATTTAGGCCACAAGACTCTGGATTGACAAAGGCTACAGTATTCTGCTGCTGTCAACCATCCTATACAAAAAGAAAAATATATCATCAAAAGTTCTGGTTTAAATGCCAAAAGCTGGCGAAACAGTACAAACCAGTGGACCTAAAATTTGTGTTAATCAGGGACAAATTAAGAAGAATATGGAAAAAAAACAACAAAGTCTTCACTCTATAGAGATTACAAGCATATCATAAACACTATTTATATATAGTTCTCTTCTTCTTGTCAAAAGTCCACTTTAGTCTAGTCAATTACTTTAGAATTTCAGTTGACAAGTCAAACTATCCTCTCTATATTACTATCATACTAGTATTCTGTGTGTGATTCACTTATAGTTGTTGCACAAGTTACTGTAATTTGTTTGGTCTTCTTTCTTCTGAAGATCCTCTGTTCCTTTTGTCAAAGTGTACCCAGGCTGATTCAACTACTTTAGATACACACTTTGACAAAATAAAATTATCCTTCTTATCTTTTTTATGCTGTTTCACTCTAACATATTAAACATTAGGCCTATCACATCTAAGGTACTTAACTTCACACAGCTATATTCTCTTTTGCTATTATCTGTCTATTGTTGTCTGTCTCTTGCTTCCTGCTTGTCTCACGCTAATTATATCTTTATTACATAGTCGTCTGGCTACTTTATATATACTCGACACCAATTAGTTATTAACAAAACCTTCTACAATCGTCTGCTTTTAACTATTATTATTATAACAAAACTTAAAAGTAATAAAATATTCACTCACAAATATAAATTAATAACTAATATTTAAACCAGACAGTCTTTTATATCATGACATAAACCCCTCTTCAAGATAAAATATTTACAATATTTTTTTTTACTATATACAAAGACTGTTCTTAGTTCAAATACAAAGTCTGCTTCAACATTTGCTGCTCCTTTATCTGTAGCTCCTAACATGGGGTCTCCAGTAGGGCTTCTCCTTAACAGGATCCCTAATCTTCATTTTGTCCATGTGTTGTCTGAGGTCTGTATTTCCTAATCTATATGTATGCTGACACAGTAGTTTTTGTTCCTCTTCCTATCAGTTAGTTTGACACTCATGTTCACGTCCTTGTACGTCTTATCTCTACACAGTGCTCTTAGGCTTATTAGGTCTTTATCTTCTAAGACAAAGTCTTCTGGTTCTGCATCTATGACTGCCACATCTGCAACATCCATCTCTGTTTCAATAACTGCACCTTTTAGGTCTTCTTCTCTCCCAAAATACTTCTTCAACAGATTGGCATGGTATATCTTGGTCTTCCCATTCACATTCACCTTGTAGTTCATTCTGTTGAGTACTTCCTGTACTTCAAAAGGTCCTTTCCATTGCAGGGTGAGTTTGTTGTGGTCTGTGGGCAGCAGAACTAAGACCTTTTGTCCAGCTTTAAAATGTCGATCCTTGGCCTTCTTGTTATAAAAATGCTTCTGACTACCTTGAGCTGCATACAAACTCTGTCGAGCAAGTTTACAGGTTTCTTCCAGATGGTTTCTGAGGTCTTACACATATTGGTACGTGTTCCTTACTTCTGACTCTTCTTCTCCCATCCATAGCTCTTTCAATATTTACATCAGACCTCGTACTGTTCTTCCATACAGTAACTCGAAGGGTGAAAATGTTGTACTTGCTTGTGGGACTTCTCGATAAGCGAATAAGCCTGTAAGTACCTTTCCCAGTCGGGTTGTCTCTCTTGGCACATCTTCTTTAGCATACTCTTTAAAACTGTATTGACTCTTTCACAAAGTCCATTACATTTAGGATTGTATGGGGGGTGGTAAAGAGTTGCCAAGTACTGATGAGTCTGCACACTTCCTGCATCAGTTCTGAAGTAAACTGGGTCCCTCTATCACTCAGGATTTCTTTCAGAAAGCCTACTCTGCAAAATATATCCAGGAGGGCTTCTGCTACTCTCTCTGTCTCTATCTTTGGCAATGCCATTTCTTCTGGATAACATGTGGCATAGTCAACTACTGTTAGCACATACCGGTTGCTCTTATCGACTCAGGCACTAGTGGCCCGATGAAGTCCACAGATACTCTGCTGAATGGCTCTTCTATGAGAGACATCTCCCCCAATGGCACTTTGGCTACCTTCCCTTTAGGTATTGTCTTTTTGCAGATATCACATGACCTGCAGAATCTACTCACATCTCCAATTACTCCCGGCCAATGGAAATTACTGGTGATTCTGTCTGCCGTTTTCGTTGTTCCTAGGTGTCCTCCCACAATTGATTCATGAGCCAACTTCATCACTTGAGTTTGGTATTCTGTTGATACTATGATCTGTCTAACTTCCCCAGTATAACTGCCTTGATAGATTCAGTATAGAACTCCCTTCTGGTCCTCTGTTCTATAAGTATTTTTCTCCTTTGTTTTATGCTCGACTTTCTTCTGGGCATTGTCCCAAAGTTTCTACAGTGAAGGGTCTTTCTTCTGTGTTTTCTTCAGTTCCTGCAAACCTAAATTTGGGATACAGCTTTTTAACACTTGCAAGGGCTTGATGTCTTGTTTGCTCTTCTTTTCTGGAGCTCTGGTGGTGACAGCAGATACTTCATCAATCTTCTTTTTG